TCGACACACTCAACTACACTCTCTATTGTTAGCCGTGGGACCGTTAAAGACCAATCCTGGAGCAACAATTTGCGTTTGGGTGGTGAGAACCGCATCCCAAACATTCTCAAATTCCCACTCAGTGTTCAGAAGACTCTGTATCTTGTCAGAGTCTTCACCTAACAGGACTATGTCATCTGCGTATTCTAGGTCAAATGAAAATTCTCCTGTGATTACGTCAATCTCTGTGTAGCCAAATAATAGGAGAGAACGGACTGCAGTACAGTATAATCATCCTTTGAAAGGAAGCGGAACATCACTCAGGCGCTAGGTATCATAAAAGTTGGCAAATGCTGAAAGGACCTCTTACACCTCACCCGACATTTAACCGGTAACTAAGATATTCAGGCTGATAAAACTCTCCAAGGAAGTGAAGCGGTCAACGCAATATACGACATCACTCTCTATGCTTAAACTACAAGTCCGTTCAGACAGGATATGAAGTATTATCTTATATAATCTTCAGACTGTTTATTTTCTCACACAACTTGGTCTACTTTGATATCACTCCTATTCACTTGTTCTTTGTATACTACTCTCAAGTGTGGCAACTGTAGCTGATGCACTTGTGTGGGAGATTCCACGTTGAATTTTCTTGTCTACATTTGAAAAGGCGATAAACGCATATCACACATACTCATATTTCTAGTCAAGGCGTAAACAAAACTGCATTTTGTCAGTCTTCGCCTGACAAAACGATGTCCCTTGCGTACTACAAGTCAACCGCTTGCCACCCTGGGAATCAGTCAATCTCTGAAAAGTCCAAGTTCTTAGAGTTATTCTCAGAAGCACGTTAATAATAAGGATCACCAGCAATAATGACGGGGAATATAGCCGGTGGACACCATGGTTATCGTTACTTCAAATAACTATTCGCAAGCCCTTACATGGCAACATGAGCTCAACCAGAAAACTTTCGGCAGAATAACACAATCTCAGTACTCCAAGTCAAAAATTTCCGTGAGGATGGTGACAGCTGGTTATCAGAACATGCGAATGTGATGGAACCATCAGCTGCACCTGGCAATATTCGGAAGCTGCCCCAGCTTATCTGAGTAGACAGAGGGAATCTGGGTATCAGTAAGACTGTGAAGCAGATGCTACAGTGATTCACAACTTTCTTAGATGCTGAAAATGCTGGGGCACTTTGAAATGCAGTCTAGGTGATCTAATTTTCCAGCGAAATCGAACCGTCATATGCTCAAAGGTCAGTTAAGACCAGCCCGCCTCAGGAAGTTGAGGTCGATAAGGAACTGCAAGTTTTAAGGCGTCACAAGGTACCTGATCACGATAAATTACCGCTAGCTCTTGTCAAAGACTAGTCTGATACTGTTGCGAAAACTGGCTTAACTGTTCCCAAAGGTATGGTGGACTGAAAAGGTCCTATCGCTCTGGAATGAAGCCACCATTGTATTCATTTCTCTAAGAGCATTTGCGTATTATGTATGATAATCGCCGGGATATCAGTCTGCTACCAGTGGTACCTACAATACTGAAAGTTATCATACTTTGCACGAAAGGCTGACCCATGAGAATGTCGCATTTTTTAGGTCGTGAATACATTGACTCTGCTCAGTCTCTACGATATGCTCGAACACTACCACACGTTATGCAGACCACTGTTTATTGCATTCCACGGCACTAACGCTGCCTTCAATTCTTTGGACAGAGCTGTATTCTGGAACCGCATGTTAGGGAGGTGTTGCTGAAAAGCTTGTTAACAACTTGAAATCCTCATAATTCAACACCTCAGGTAGAATGAAGATATATAGCTACCTCTCTCTATTGTTCCAAATCAACTGAGGGGTTGGGCGGAGCTATCCAACTTTGTCATCTATTTTTGACTCCGCCATTAGTGACATTCCAGAGTCAAGAACGAAGTGTATGGTGATGGTGTAGACGTGTTACCAGGTAAAAGACATTTTGACTTCAAGTGTGAATAAACACGGAACCCACGCAGCCACTGCACATTCGTGCATTAGGCAACTATCATTATTATTTATTATTAGTCCCTTGGGTTCCTAGTGGAACATAGGGCTTCACTAGCACGTCTCCAGTGACCTCTGTTCTCTGAGATCTTCTGAACCTGGCTCCATTTCTTCCTCGCACGACCTCCACCATGTCACCCTCGGACGTCCAACTCGTCGCTTCCCATGGGGATTCCACTCGAGGGCCTGACGCGTGATGTCCCCAGTCGGCCTTCTCAGTGCATGCCCAATCCATCTCCAATTCCTCCTGCATATTTGTTGCGTGATAGCTTCTTGGTTGGTTCGTTCCCAGAGCTCCTTGTTGCTTATTCTTTCTGGCCATCTGATCTTCAGTAGCGAGCGTAAGCAGTTGTTGATGAATGTCCGTAGTTTATTGGAAACCCCTTTCGTGACGCGCCAAGTCTCTGAGCCATACAGAAGCACTGACTTGACGTTGGCAATAAGCCATACTTATTGTGTGAGTACTAGTGATACTACCTGGTTGCCCAAACCTCAATAGGTGGAGAGGGGTTTGAACTCATGACTTACTGGTCGATAATCGTCTCCCTAAACCACTGAGCCACAGCTCCACCCAATTGTGCGGATGGTATCGTTTCACTGTGCGACAACACAGGCTTATGGAATCCCACTCAGTTGGCGGTTAGTCTCCATAAGTACAGTATGTGCTTTACACCTTCGAAATGAAAAGCGCTTCTACAATATCGACGGGAGCTTGTTCCCGCAATCACCCCTAGTGGTGAACCGCTGTAAGTTGTCGGAAGGTCTGTATAACTAGGTAGTGTGAGTAAATGTTGTAACGTAACTTAACCTGGTGCATACATTCATGCACTAAGCTGTGCGACAGTTGTGTGAAAGCTCACGCTGCTACCTGGTTGCGTAGGTCAAAGTGGGTGGAGTATGACCTGAAATCGGAACCAATTGCCTAACAGTTGTTCTTAAGCTAATGAGTCAATGATGAGAATTCAAACAGCATGTCGAAAGTCAGAGTGGCATATGTCATCACAACTTTAACCTTGCTGTAGGAGATCGGGTAAATAACGGCTTTGTTGGCGTCTGATGACCTTCTGGGTACTATGTGAGAGGTTGCGCAACCTAGCGAGCAGGCCTATACGACAGTAGATATGGCTCAGAATTGAAACCAATGAACATCCGACTGTAGTTTTATCTTTTTCAAATATTAAGAAGGAAAATGAAGTTTTCAGTGCTGACGTATGAATGAATGGCAGCGAACCCTCTACCTCAACTTGATCGACTTTGAAAAGGCCTTTAACAGCGTCGATTGACAAGTAATTTGACAGTTGCTTCAACACTACGGAATACCACAAACCTCTATCAGCCTCATTCAACAACTACGTGAAGACGCCACATGCCGAGTAATTCACAATGGGAAGCTCAGTGATGCTTTTGAAGTGGAGACAGGAGTGAAACAAGGCTGCCTACTATCACCCATGATATTCCTGATTGTAGTGGACTGGATCATGCAACAAACTGTGAGTAGCGAGAAGAGGGGGATACGCTGGACTGCGGAAAAAAACCTAGAAGACTTGGATTTCGCCGACGAATTGTGTCTGATGTCACACAAACTTGAAGATCTACAGGCGAAAACCAACAAGTTGACAGAAGAGGCAGGGCATTGAAGACGGGACTCCAAAGGGACGTAGAGAAGACAGAGGTGATGAAGATAACCAACCAACAACAACAAGCTCCAATCACCATCAATGGGAGAAACTTGAAGGAAGTAGCCTCTTTCACCTACCTAGGCAGCACTGTTTCAACTGCATGCAGCGGTACAGACGAGGACGTCAAAACCAGGATCGGAAAAGCAAGACAGGCGTTCATTAGCCTGAAACCAGTGTGGAGATCTTCTGCACTCAGCATGTAGAACAAGATCCAGATTTTCAACGCCAACGTCAAGTCAGTGCTTCTGTATGGCTCAGAGACTTGGCGCGTTACGAAAAGCACTTCCAACAAACTACAGACTTCCATCAACAACTGCCTACGCTGGCTCGTTACTGAAGATCAGATGGATTGACAGAAGGAATAAGCAACAATGAACTCTGGCTGACAACGAACCAACCAAGAACCTATCGCTGGACAAATATGCAGAAGGAAGTGGAGACGGATTGGATTGGGCATACACTGAGAAGGCCGACTGGGGACATCACGCACCAGGCCAGGCCAGGCCCTCGAGTGGAACCCAGATGGGAAGCGACAAGTTGTGAGTCCAAGGGTTACATGGAGGAGATCTAGCGAGGAAGAAATGAGAGCTCTTGGGCTGTCGTGGAGCCAGGTTCAAAAGTTTGCAGAGAACAGAGTGCAGTGGAGACGTGTTAATGAAGCCCTATGTTCCATTAGGAACTCAAGAGACAAATAATAATAATGTTTGAGATTAACTCCCAGTACCTTATTTTCTCCCTTCGACTCTCATAATCCCTCGTATTCTTCGTGATCTGATATGGCCCAGTTTTACGTTTTCACGTTCTGAATAAATAAGGAATATAATACTACTTAACAATTAATCTCGAAATTACCTCACTTTCTTAGATTACGATGAATTGATCTTAAGGTTTGGTGAAATCTGTAAGTACGACATCACCAATCTTCCCTGACAATAAGGTTACTCAAGATTGACTAGCCTTAAGGCCCTAGTCCATTCTATTCAACGTGCTGCATAACAGCACTAAGTTCTTTTCCAGTATTGTAAGAAAAGTACTGGTAAGACTAGCCAGGCGATTCCCAACAACCAACTGATTAACCCTACTTTTTGGGTATCAGACTGTGATTTTGACTAATTCAGTGGAATGATTTCTGCTCACAAGAGGTCTAAAGCTGACAAATAAGACCACAAAAGTGTTAGAGGCAGCCAGATGGAATTATATATATATATATATATATATATATATATATATATATATATATATATATATATATATATATATTGTACAAGGTTACGCTTAAACATAGTTAACCGACCTAGCGATTCCAAGGTTGTTTGCAATCGTCCAATTTGGCGCCTTAAAGGCAGCAGGTTATGACCGCGTAACAACTGTCTAAAGGGTTCGGATAGTTATTGACGGAGTAGAAGCTCTCGCTCAACCGACTTCCACATCTAGAATCCATGGATCATCGGCTCATGCGGTTGCTAACCTGTGTACAAGTAATGAAAGAGTAAACAGGAGTGAATAAAATCTGAAAATTCAGTTAATTCTGAGCAAATATCACCACATCGTAAGTTAGTGTCGAGCCAGTGCAAATTGGCCTGAATCGCTTCTACAGGAAAAGCGCTCCAGGGTCTAACAACTGTCGTTCCTCATGTCTTAGACCTAAGACCTCAAAAAAATCCGATCGACCTCCTCTGATTGTTCATATGGTTCAAATGGTTGTTGATGGAATTGAAGTTTACGCTTAACTGTATTCCACGTCTGAAATCAACAGATCACTACTTCTTGTGATTGTAAACCTGTGTACAAGTAAAGAGACAGGAAAAATTGTCGGTTGAAATGTGATAATTCAATTTGTTCTGGTCAGGTCCCAGCTACATGTCAAATGAACATTCAGTCGGTGTTTAAAGGATTCAGATGAAGTATTATTATGACCAAATTGCAACGCTTCGTATCATCATAGAGCAGAGCGTAGAATGGCAATCAGCTCTATACCTCAACTTCATCGACTTTGAGAAGGCCTTTGACAGCGTCGACCGAGAAGTAATTTGGAAACTGCTTCACTACTACGGAGTACCGCAAACCTTTATCAACCTCATTCAACAACTATATGAAGATGCCACATGCCAAGTAATCCACAATGGGAAGCTCAGTGATGCCTTTGAAGTGAAGACAGGAGTGAAACAAGGTTGCCTACTATCCCCCATGATATTCCTAATTGTGGTGGACTGGATCATGCAGCAAACAGTAGGCAGCGAGAAAAGGGGGATACACTGGACGACGGAAAAGAACCTAGAAGACTTGGATTTCGCCGATGACTTATGCCTAATGTCACATAAACTTGAAGATCTGCAGGCAAAAACTAACAAGTTGATAGAAGAGGCAGCGAAGACGGGACTTCAGGTGAATATAGAGAAGACAGAAGTGATGAAGATACCGCACCACCACCATCAACAACAACAACAAACTCCAATCACCGTCAACGGTAGAAACTTGAAGGAAGTAACCTCCTTCACTTATCTAGGAAGCACTGTTTCAACTACAGGCGGGACGGACGAGGACGTCAAAGTCAGAATCGGAAAAGCAAGACAGGCATTCATTAGCCTGAAACCAGTGTGGAGATCTTCTGCACTCAGCATGCGGAACAAGATACGGATTTTCAACACCAACGTCAAGTCAGTGCTCTTGTATGGCTCAGAGACTTGGCGCGTCACGAAAGGCATTTCCAATAAACTACAGACATTCATCAACAACTGCTTACGCTCGCTGCTGAAGATCAGATGGCCAGAAAAAATAAGCAACAAGGAACTCTGGGAACGAACCAACCAAGAACCTATCACGCAACAAATATGCAGGAAGAAGTGGAGATGGATTGGGCATACACTGAGAAGGCCGACTGAGGACATCACGCGTCAGGCCCTCGAGTGGAATCCCCATGGGAAGCGACGAGTTGGACGTCCGAAGGTGACATGGAGGAGGTCGTGCGAGGAGGAAATGAGAGCTTCTGGGCTGTCGTGGAACCAGGTTCAAAAGATCTCAGAGAACAGAGGTCACTGGAGGCGTGCTACTGAAGCCCTATGTTCCACTAGAAACCCAAGGGACCAATAATAATAAAATAATAATTATGGATCACGTCACCAAGAAGAGTACTCCAGGGTCTAGCAACTCTTAGACAATAGCAGTTTTGACTGCTATCTAATCTGCTTTGTTCCAGGCTTAACATTTTGTATGCCTTCTAAGATTAGTGCTACAGCTGAGATCCAATAAGTGACGTAGCGGGTGTTCCGGCGGTGCTCACGATATTGTTGGTTATTACCAAATCTTCCCTTAGCCTTCTATGTTCCAGAGGATACGGATCCAGCACATTCAGTCGTTCTTCATACGTTTTAGACCCAAGTCCTCAAACAAATTTGATCCAGCGCCTCAGGATGCGTCTAAACTTAATTTGTTTTTCTGCAGAAAAGAAGGGAAGATGATGTTTCCGGACTCAAGGTGAGAGCGTTTGAAGTTGCTGAAAACTTGGTGGAAATATGTACGATCGAACTGTCCAAAAAATCATCTGGGAGTTAATAACACCGTTTCCACGAAATGTTTTGTTCGTCACAGTCGGTAAACGACTTTAAATCTTGAGCGACTAAAACACAAGAATCCTTCTGTATCAGCGACTGTTCAATTTCCATATCGTTGAAGCCATGTACATGACATGCATCGTGTTTTACATGTATAACCGTAGGTTTTTCAGCTTTAAGTGCGGGCCTGTTGCTGACTGCCCAGTCCTGAAGTCCAGCTATATCTTCAAGAGGAGAAACGCGATCTTCCTCACGGTTGAATCCGCAGCATGGTTTCATGTCGTCAGCAATAAGAAGGATTTCCTAAGAAGCCTGTGTATAATTATTATCTGTCCCTTGAGTTCCTAATGGAACATAGGGCTTCATTAACACGTCTCCACTGCACTCTGTTCTCTGCAAACTTTTGAACCTGGCTCCACGACAGCCCAAGAGCTCTCATTTCTTCCTCGCTAGATCTCCTCCATGTAACCCTTGGACTCACAACTTGTCGCTTCCCATCTGGGTTCCACTCGAGGGCCTGGCCTGGCCTGGTGCGTGATGTCCCCAGTCGGCCTTCTCAGTGTATGCCCAATCCAATCCGTCTCCACTTCCTTCTGCATATTTGTCCAGCGATAGGTTCTTGGTTGGTTCGTTGTCAGCCAGAGTTCATTGTTGCTTATTCCTTCTGTCAATCCATCTGATCTTCAGTAACGAGCCAGCGTAGGCAGTTGTTGATGGAAGTCTGTAGTTTGTTGGAAGTGCTTTTCGTAACGCGCCAAGTCTCTGAGCCATACAGAAGCACTGACTTGACGTTGGCGTTGAAAATCTGGATCTTGTTCTACATGCTGAGTGCAGAAGATCTCCACACTGGTTTCAGGCTAATGAACGCCTGTCTTGCTTTTCCGATCCTGGTTTTGACGTCCTCGTCTGTACCGCTGCATGCAGTTGAAACAGTGCTGCCTAGGTAGGTGAAAGAGGCTACTTCCTTCAAGTTTCTCCCATTGATGGTGATTGGAGCTTGTTGTTGTTGGTTGGTTATCTTCATCACCTCTGTCTTCTCTACGTCCCTTTGGAGTCCCGTCTTCAATGCCCTGCCTCTTCTGTCAACTTGTTGGTTTTCGCCTGTAGATCTTCAAGTTTGTGTGACATCAGACACAATTCGTCGGCGAAATCCAAGTCTTCTAGGTTTTTTTCCGCAGTCCAGCGTATCCCCCTCTTCTCGCTACTCACAGTTTGTTGCATGATCCAGTCCACTACAATCAGGAATATCATGGGTGATAGTAGGCAGCCTTGTTTCACTCCTGTCTCCACTTCAAAAGCATCACTGAGCTTCCCATTGTGAATTACTCGGCATGTGGCGTCTTCACGTAGTTGTTGAATGAGGCTGATAGAGGTTTGTGGTATTCCGTAGTGTTGAAGCAACTGTCAAATTACTTGTCAATCGACGCTGTTAAAGGCCTTTTCAAAGTCGATCAAGTTGAGGTAGAGGGTTCGCTGCCATTCATTCATACGTCAGCACTGAAAACTTCATTTTCCTTCTTAATATTTGAAAAAGATAAAACTACAGTCGGATGTTCATTGGTTTCAATTCTGAGCCATATCTACTGTCGTATAGGCCTGCTCGCTAGGTTGCGCAACCTCTCACATAGTACCCAGAAGGTCATCAGACGCCAACAAAGCCGTTATTTACCCGATCTCCTACAGCAAGGTTAAAGTTGTGATGACATATGCCACTCTGACTTTCGACATGCTGTTTGAATTCTCATCATTGACTCATTAGCTTAAGAACAACTGTTAGGCAATTGGTTCCGATTTCAGGTCATACTCCACCCACTTTGACCTACGCAACCAGGTAGCAGCGTGAGCTTTCACACAACTGTCGCACAGCTTAGTGCATGAATGTATGCACCAGGTTAAGTTACGTTACAACATTTACTCACACTACCTAGTTATACAGACCTTCCGACTAGGGGTGATTGCGGGAACAAGCTCCCGTCGATATTGTAGAAGCGCTTTTCATTTCGAAGGTGTAAAGCACATACTGTACTTATGGAGACTAACCGCCAACTGAGTGGGATTCCATAAGCCTGTGTTGTCGCACAGTGAAACGATACCATCCGCACAATTGGGTGGAGCTGTGGCTCAGTGGTTTAGGGAGACGATTATCGACCAGTAAGTCATGAGTTCAAACCCCTCTCCACCTATTGAGGTTTGGGCAACCAGGTAGTATCACTAGTACTCACACAATAAGTATGGCTTATTGCCAACGTCAAGTCAGTGCTTCTGTATGGCTCAGAGACTTGGCGCGTCACGAAAGGGGTTTCCAATAAACTACGGACATTCATCAACAACTGCTTACGCTCGCTACTGAAGATCAGATGGCCAGAAAGAATAAGCAACAAGGAGCTCTGGGAACGAACCAACCAAGAAGCTATCACGCAACAAATATGCAGGAGGAATTGGAGATGGATTGGGCATGCACTGAGAAGGCCGACTGGGGACATCACGCGTCAGGCCCTCGAGTGGAATCCCCATGGGAAGCGACGAGTTGGACGTCCGAGGGTGACATGGTGGAGGTCGTGCGAGGAAGAAATGGAGCCAGGTTCAGAAGATCTCAGAGAACAGAGGTCACTGGAGACGTGCTAGTGAAGCCCTATGTTCCACTAGGAACCCAAGGGACTAATAATAAATAATAATGATAGTTGCCTAATGCACGAATGTGCAGTGGCTGCGTGGGTTCCGTGTTTATTCACACTTGAAGTCAAAATGTCTTTTACCTGGTAACACGTCTACACCATCACCATACAC